TAAGTTCAATGCAAGTGTTGTTGAATTTCTTCATAACACCAACCCATCCCTACACAGAGACACAACCAGCAACTCCTTCCGGGTAGTTGTTGCTGGAGTCGCTCCTCCATGTCTCACATCTAGTTTGCTATGGAATTTTGGTTTAACTGTATTTCATCCATACGGCATCCATTCATGTATGGATGAGTATCTAAATCGACGAAAAGAAAGCGGAAATTTTTACTGAAATCGTGACTTGTTTTTTTTTTTTTTTGTGGGTCCACAAATGGTTCTCTCTTTCTCTCAGTTTCGGTCGTTCAAATTCTCTCTGTTACTCTTTCTCTCTTTTGGCATAACTTTAGGCGATTTTTGTTTGAAGAGGAAGAAGGAATTCAAAACTAAACTAAAAAAAATATCTCAAAATTCAGGCAAAAGGATGAGAAAGCGAGAGAGCCGTTTATAAATCAAGTAGAGTGGAGTAGATGAAGTCTGAACAGGGACGAACGAACGAACGGAAAAAAATCCTGTATATTTTTTGATTTACTTTGCTTTTTTGCGATGTTTTTTTCAATTGCCATCTGGGGGTGTGGAGGTTAGTTGTAGGTGGGTTTGGTTGTTTTGGTGATGAGGTTGACGATAATGACGTTGCTAGAGTTATGTGTGTGTGTGACTGGCTGCCTGTTTCATTGTCTGCTGTTGATGTTAGTGTTGGCGACAGCGGCGGCAGTGTTGTTGGTGGTGATTCTGTCTGTTGTTTTGTCTAAAAAATGCCTTTTTAGTTATTTTTTACCCCAAAATCGTACGTATTTTTCGATGATGACGCGGAATTTATATCAAAAACAGACTAAAAAATACCAAATACATTTGCAAAGTATTTTTTTTTTGTTCGTTACGTTTTGTTTCCTTTGTTGCTGCGTCTGTTGCCAGCGATAGATGAAATGTCAGAATAACGTAAAATTTCCGAGAGGGTTGAATTTTTTCGCGAAATTTTGTCCATTCGTTGGGAATTTTCAATAAAAGAAAATTTGTCCAACCCTTGCCGTACATTTGCATAACAACAGTCGTTGTGTGTGTGTGTGCGTGTCTGCCCATCTGTCTAAGCGTTTTTGGCATTTTGACCTTTAAGGTTAGGGCTATTTATTTATTTCGGTTTCCGCCTTCGTAATTACATACACACTCACTTAGCCAAGAGTAATTAAAATTCAATTCAAAAATTCATTGATTTTTGAGGAAATTTCTAAGGATATTTTGGAGCTGATTTAAGCATTTGCAGAAAGAATATTTATTTGATAAATCGAAAATTTGAGTTTTTAGATTGTCAAATTACATATTGGATTCGGAGTCATGTTTTTTAACTTTTATCATATTTTTATACCCTCCACCTTGGAAAGGAGGGTATATTAACCTTGTCATGCCATTTTTATACCCTCCACCTTAGAAAGAAGGGTATATTAACTTTGTCATTCCGTTTGTAACATCCCTAAATATTCGTCGTAGACCCCATAAAGTATATATATTCATAATCAGCATAAAATTCTAAGTCGATTTAACTATGCCCCTCTGTCTGTTAGAATCACGATACAGGCCACATTACTTGACGTAGAACGAAATTTAGCAAAATTATTTGTATTTTGTCTAGGATGGTTGGTATTGAAAATGAGATATATCGGTCCACGCTTTGGTATAACCTCCATATAACGATGCCTCCCGATATTCGGTATTTTTATGTATAGGTCCACGTTTTTGTATATCCCTATGTAGCGGTACCTCCCGATATTCGGTATTTTGATTATTTTTGACACATTTTCCCACGAAAATGTCTAAAAATTGGTATTTGTGGGTCATGATTTGTTCTAATGTTTCCATTGCCCTAAGGTGGAGGGTATTAAAAGTTCGGCCCGGCCGAACTTAATGTTTTTTTACTTTTTTTTTAAATTTTGGGTCTTTGGTATACATTTTTATATTTTTTTTATAAAAACTTTACCAAGGTCAGAGGCGCTTGTAAAGGTCAGAGTTTTGATATTTTGCAGAAGCATTAAAATAGCCTTCCAAAATTTTGGTATTAGTTAAAGAGTCACATCAGTCCACATGCATGGTTAAGAATTAAAACGAGGAAGTGTCTGCTCCGCAAGATGTGCCGACATATCTCCCTCTTAAAAGATTAAAACGAGGAAGTGTCTGCACCACAAGATGGGCCGACATATATCCCTTTTCGGTTTCATAAAAAAATTGGTGTGGGAACCCAAAACTCGCTTAAAACTTACCGTTACTACAAAATATTTTTATGAAATTCAATAGCTGTTGGGAGGTTTAATTTTGATTTCTTACCTACTATGGAGTTCAGTTCGTTATTCCATTTATAACTCATTGAAATAAGCATTTTAGACTCAACAAAGAATATTAAAACGAGGAAGTGTCTGCACCACAAGATGGGCCGACATATATCCCTTTTCGGTTTCATAAAAAAATTGGTGTGGGAACCCAAAACTCGCTTAAAACTTACCGTTACTACAAAATATTTTTATGAAATTCAATAGCTGTTGGGAGGTTTAATTTTGATTTCTTACCTACTATGGAGTTCAGTTCGTTATTCCATTTATAACTCATTGAAATAAGCATTTTAGACTCAACAAAGAATATTTTTCATACGAATTTTCTCAAAGTTGGTATTTGGAGTTTGCAATATGTAGGAAATTATTTTTATTATCCCAGTGTTTCTTTGATATTTGGTATTTTGATGATTTTAGCCAAATTTTAAAAATGTTTTTTTTTTTTTTTTTTTTGTTATTTGGTATTGCACCTTTTGATTACAATTTGTGGGTTTTTAAGGAATGGAATATTTAGCAGCTATCGCAAATTATTTTAAGAAACATTTTACAATACCTTTTTGACCGACCATTACAAATCATGTCTGATTACAAATCATGACTGATTACAAATCATGAATTTTGACTAAAAATTCTGGATAGCATTTTTCGAAACATTAAGGATTGTTTTCAAAAGCTTTCCGTTTAAAAATTATTAAATATAAAGAGTAACTTACAGGCAATAAAATCGTGAATTTTCTCAAAGCAAATTATCAAGGATGTCCTTACAGTCGTAGATTTAAAAAAAGGTAATTTACCCTGAAAAGAATTTTCTATAAAACCTTTTGACAACAGGTTGGATCTTGGTTAAAGTTGTGGAATCATTATGGACATTCTTCTGACCATAAATGTGTAGACTCATTTTTAAAAAAATTATTTCTAAATTCGCAAATCTCGAAGGGTTTTTAAGAAATTTTTTCAATGGCATTCTGATGCAACATTTTTTTCAATGACTTCCTGACTAGAGATCTTGGACTTTTTAAGAACACTTGTCAAGACCTCTGACCAAAAATCTTGTATTTTTGAAGATTTGTTTATGATCAAGGTTCGCGGATTTTTCACGAAACTATTTTCAAAGACATGATGGTCCAAAATCAATTAAAAAATTATCAAGCCTTCGTAAATCCTGGTTTTATAGGAAAAAATTTTTAGGAAGTTCTAATCCAAAATCGTTTTTTTTTAAGAAATGAACAACTTTTTAATCATCAAAATACCGAAAATAGAGGGGTACCATTATATGGGGGCTATATCAAAACGTGAACCCACGTAGCCCATTTTCAATACCAAAAGTCATGCACACATAATATACATTTGAGTAAAATTTTATCAATCTATTTAATTTTGTTCGGAAGCTAGAGTGGTTTCCACAGACGGACGGACATCGCTAAATCGACATCGATTTTTATGGTGATCACGAATATATATACTTTGTGGGGGTCTAAAATGTATATTTCGAGGTGTTACAAAAGGAATGACAAATTTAATATACCCTCCATACTATGGTGGGGGTAAAAAAATTAAAGGACATATTGAGAAAAGCTCGTGAATTTTTTAATAATAATTATTACTGGATTTTTTAGGTAAACCTTTTATAGGATATTCTCCTAAAAAATCATGGGTTTTGAAGAAATTTGTTGTATCGTTGAAGAAAATAGTGGACCTATTTTACAATTTTTCATGGATATACTGACCACAAAATATGTTTTTAAAGCAAATATTTTCAAGGATTTCTTGACCAAAAGTTTTAAGAGAAACTCTTCAAAAACTTGTTGATTAAAATAATGCAAAAAAATGTGTTAAAGGACCTAATGGATCTGATTTTTAGGAAAACTTTTGTAGGATCCTTTGATCAAGTATATTTCTGACTATAGAAAATTTTCAAGGACATCCTCACCTAAACTGGTGAATTTTTAAGAGAACGTTTTAAAGGTCTTTTTGGCAAAATTGATGGTTAAAAAAATAAAGGACATCTTGAAAAAAACTAGTGGATCTTTTAATAATTTTTTTTTACAAATCCTTATTGAATACTGGAAAAAAAGCCATAGTTCCCTGTACCACATTTCGGTTTCGGGTAAATTCAATAAATTTTTTAAGATTTTTTACGTATCGTGGAATGTAATTTTTACCGAAACTCGTCACTTGACAAAAAATCATGGACTTTTTGAGAACATATATCCAGGACTTCCTATTCTATAACCGTGGAGTTTTCTCAAGGATCCTCATACAAAAATCGTGGATTTCTTTAAAAAAAAAAAAAATATTTAGAAAATAGTGGATTTTTTAAGAACTTCATCGAAAAATCGTAGAACTCTTAACTTTTTTTAAAGACTTCATAGCCCAAAAATTGCACAGATGGGACTTCCTGATAACAAAACATCCACCTTCTGAATTTCCATAAATAACGTTTCTCGTCTAGATGCTATTACCCATTGTAGGGTGCATGACTCAACTCTCGTAATTTATATAGTAGCATTTTGTATGCCGCAGGGCACCATGGCGGATGATTGATGTCAGCAGTTATACGCTCTGTAAATCGAATATTGAATATACAACTGCCGCAGTTATAATTGTCTAGTGTATATTTTCATAAAATTAAGTTTTTTACTAAATTTTATTGTGCTAAAACTGTTTTTTCCAACTTCCACCTAGTGTTCCTTAAGCAAAAAATGAAAACTTAAAAACCGAAATCAAAACTATATAAGACTTTTAAATTTAAATAAAACTACAACAACAAAAAATAAAAAGCAAAAATGCATGGCAACAACATTGTGTTAAATCAAAATAAATAACAACAACAACAACAATAAATCTCCCACTGAAAATTACGAATTTAAAACAAAAGAAAATAAACAACAACAAATCCAACTTTAAACCATGGAAGGACGTCTCATCGAATACCGTCCAATTGGCGGTGGTCTCGACTATCATCACAATTCACCATTGATTGGTGAAATACCACCGGGTGGTGAGTACTCACAGGCCGTACACCGATCCATAGATCAGCTAAGAAATACCCTAAACGAACGTGTTACTTTAGGACCATTGAGCGTGTTCTCGAATACCGCCGATTTGAGAACCTCTGTTCTCAACTACACCCAACAGCCGGCACATCAGCAGCAGCAACAACAGCAGCAGCATCAACAGCAACAACACCAGCAGCAGCAACAACATCAGGCGCATTATCAAATCCAGGGGGCAGTATCGACTACCACCACACCAAATGGTTCGGTGGCCGAGGCGGTGTTGTTGCATCAAAAGTCCTTGTGTTTGGACACCAAATTGGCCGACTCGACTACTGGGGTGGTCAGTTCGACGGTCAGTTCTGGCGGAGGTGGTCGTGGTCGTAAATCGCGTATCTATCCACCGAATCCTAATCAGCACATTGTTGTGACCAGCAACAGTGTGGACAATGGTGGGACACGTCATCACAACCGCCAACAACAGCAGCAGCAACAACAGACGAATGACAGCAACAATGGTATTTCATCGTCCACATCGTCGCCGCATCATCCGATGCAATTGCAGGATATTAAGGATACCAAGGTATTGAGAAAAGACCATTCAGAGTAGAAAGAGAGAGAGAGAGAGAGAGGGAGAGTAAGAATTTTCTCTCTCTCAAACATGTTACCAAAGTTTTTCATTTTCTTTTGAAGCTTTAATTAATTTTTTGATTAATTCCCAAATTTCTTCTCCCCCTCTTCTCATCCTTTCAGATCTTTACATCCAAAGCCGACCTGCAGCTGCACACCCAGATGCACATGCGCGAATCGAAACCCTACAAATGCACCCAATGCTCCAAGGCATTCGCCAATTCGTCATATCTGTCGCAGCACACGCGAATACATTTGGGCATCAAGCCGTATCGCTGTGAGATCTGCCAGCGCAAGTTCACCCAGTTGTCGCATCTACAGCAGCATATTCGGACGCACACGGGTGACAAACCCTACAAGTGTCGACATCCCGGCTGTCAGAAGGCATTCTCTCAGCTCTCCAATCTTCAATCACACTCACGTTGCCACCAAACCGACAAACCATTCAAATGTAATTCGTGCTACAAATGCTTCTCCGACGAACCCTCACTGCTCGACCACATACCCAAGCACAAGGAGTCCAAGCATCTGAAGACGCACATCTGTCAGTACTGCGGGAAGTCGTACACCCAGGAGACATATCTGAATAAACATATGCAAAAGCATGCGGAGAGGACCGACAAGCGACCGCCCATTGTCGTCACAAATGCTGGCAATAATCCGGCTGGGGGAACCACACCGGCTGCCGGTGCTGCGGCAGGTGGAGCAGCTTCAACAACAACCAACAGCACCACCACCAACAACAACACAGGTAATAGTAATCCTGCAGTAGGTTCCAATCTCTCGTCTACTAATACTGGTTCGGTTACAACAGGTGTAGGCTCGGGCGGAGCGGCTAGCACAACCGCAGCAGCAGGCATTGTTGCCGGGGTCCACAATCAGCATAATCGCAACAATTTGACCTTACCTCCGGTAACAATAGCACCCACCGACAATTCGTATTGGCCCAAAGTCAGTCCTGACTCGGCAGCCAATTTGAATGATGTTATGCATCAACAGCAACAACAATCGCAGCAACATCACAACCAACATCCCCATCAACAGCAGCAGCAACAGCATCACAGCGGCCAACAGGGCGGTTCGTCACAACATCATCCGCAACAGCAAACAAATCCCCAACAACAGCAACCCTCCTCTCAGCAACAAGGTCACATGGACTATGGCAATCACCAGCAGCAGCAACAACAACAGCAGGCCGGCAATGCGGGACAATCGAATAATCCGCACAACGATCTGCAGGGTCATCATCGCATGAATGATAATGGTCGCGAAGATATTGGTAAGTAGAGAGGGTTGATTCTTACAATATACGGCCGGAATAACCATTACAAAAAAAATATTTATATATCACTCACCATCGTAAAAATCATAAATTCCCTGAGTCCGAATGTTTAAATCCCGAAAAGAGGAAAAAGTTCGGAAGATGGAATTTTGTACCCAAGTGTTACTTGTTTAAAGTGATAAAATGGTGATAAGTCTTAGAGGCAAATAAACGGATGAGGTTGATGTAGACTTTTTTTGGTTCGATGAGAACTCTATTTATTTTTGATGGACTTCGATTTAAGTATCATATGTTGAAACGATTCTGCATCCGACTTAACTTTTAAAACAAAATCCTACTTTTTAACAATTTTGATAATATACATTCCATTAGTTATCTTGACTGAAACTTCAAAACATTCATCAAATATTCAGAATACCGAAAATCAGGAGGCATCGTTACTTGAAGCAATACCTTAATGTGGGTCGATGTAGCAAATTTTTAAAAGCAGATTGATAGATTTCAATAGACAAATAGACGTGGTATTATTGACTCAAAGATTGCCATAATTCAGACAATACGCTTTTTATACCCTCAGCCATATGGCTAACGAGGGTATATATCATTTGATACGGCCAAGACGTGCCTCATCGCAATAACGGTTTTAAATTCTAGATCTGTCTGGACCAAATCCGTTTCATGATATTTGAAGTCGATCTAGGGGTGTGCATCCCTCTGTCTGTCTGGCTGGTGCACACTTATCGTGCTCGGTCCACTCCTTCTCCCACAACGGGCAAACTTTTTGTATAATTGTAGCTCTCATAAAATGTGAAATGAACATTTCCCATCCTAATAGTTGTACTAATGCAAGATCTGCTGTGATGCACCGGATGCTTATTTCTGATTTTATGATCGTTTTGGTTATTCAAAATTTTGACCCTTTGTGGGGGAGGTCCCAGAAGGAATGGTCCGATATTGTCCATTTTCGCACATGAAATAGCATGGATGCAAATATTAGGAAGTTGGAGGAAAATTCTCTGTCTGTGCAGAAAATACTTTCTTTATTGAAAATTTCGACCGATATAGCCCATCTCGGAACTCGATCTATGTTACGTAATAATAATATTACGATGTACCAAGTTTTAACCAAATCGGAATCTTCCTTATAGAGTTGTCGTGCGGCTCAGCCAGCCAGACAGACAGACGGACGGAAAAGGCTCCAAACGACTCCAAATATCCTGAAACTGATTTGGCCCAAAGAGACTTAGGGTCTAAAACTGGTATTTCGACAAGGCACATTTGGACCGTATGAAATAAAATGAATATTGTTGCTTGAATCATTAAAATACCGAATAAGGGCAGGTTCCGTTATATGGGAGCTATACGAAAACGTGGACCTACATGGTCCATTTTCAATACCAAAAGTCCTGCAGACATAATATACATTTGAGTAAAATTTAATCAACCTACTTCTTTTCGTTCGGAAGCTAGAGTGATTTCCACAGACGGAGGGACAATCGGACGTATCTACATCAAGAATATATATACTTTGTATATTTCGAGGCGTTACAAACGAAATGACAAACTTAATGTACCCTCCATGCTATGGTGGAGGGTATAAAAAGGGGCCCTCTTTTATTACCGGGCTCAAATGTATTTTAGGTCCGTAATATTGTGAATTGCGTTCATATGACGATTTATAGTGTTTTGGGGGTTTTAGCCATAAATTTCCAAACTATTTTCTTATAAATTACCGGTATTGTTCCCAGTGTGCAGAAGAAAACTTGCAATGTACTGGATATTCCGATATACAACGATTTTATTATTTCTGTAATACTTTTCACCGGAATTTGGCATTTGGGGTTCGTAATGCGTACCACTCCTAACACAGAAAATTGCTTTTACAGGATAACGTCTTCTTTTAGCCTCAATTAGAGCTATGCCAATGTAGTTCGGTCTAACGAAGAAATTTCTTATCCAGTTCCTATGAGTGATAAGAAATATATGCCATTTTTTAATCACTCATACGTTTAGGTGTACTGAATTAGGAATTAGATTGAGACAGCTCTAACCCTATTACACGGTACCTTCCTATATTATGTATTTTAACGATTTAAGTCACATCGTTCAACGGAGTTATTTCAAAGTCGGTATTTGGTTATGTGGAGGCGATACCAGAAGAAGTGAACAGATATATACCGTCTTCACACCAACTGTTGCGTTGAGAGAAAAATCGAATATGCCGAGTTTGAACGAACGCTTTGGTTATTAAAAAATGTGATCCGAGTTTTCCGATGCATCCCATCTTCACATCACAATAATTTTATTAACCCAAAGTCTGGTGTGTAGATAGAATGAATCGAAGCACTCCTTTTGGTATCTCCCCACAAAAGGTCGAAATTTTCAAAACAAAAAAAATATATTTTACAGCACAGAGAGAGAAAGGATAGTCCGATAGTAATTGCGAATCCTAATATTTGCATCAGTGCTAAGTCAGGTGTGAAAATGGATAGAATCGGTCCATCAAGTACCTCCCCTACAAAGTGTGAACATTTTAAATAATTCTAACTCATATAAAATGTGATGTAAGTTTGATTGCCTTCTAATTGCGCACATCAGAATATTTCTATTAGCCCAAGGTCTGGTGTGAAGATGGAATATATCGGTCCACACGTTCTGGCACCTCCCCGCAAAAGGTCAACTTTTTGAATATCCATTCAGACTTGGCACTCAACTCAAACTTTTTATTAAGATGGTACAGACCGGGCTTTTCCTTCTTGTACCTTCCCCACAAAGGCTCAAAGTTTTTAAAAATCAAAACGATTATATAATCTGAAGTAAGCATCCGGTTCTTTTTATATTTCACACATTTCATGATTTCTACTAACCCTAGATCTGATTTAAAGATGGAATGTGTCGGTCCCCTCCTTCTGGTACCTTCCCCACAGAGGGTCAAAATTTTGAATATCCATAAAGCTCATAAAACGTGAAATTAACATCCGATTCCATTCAGACTTGGTACATCTCAAGATTTCCATCAACATAAGATCTGTTACAAAGATGTTTATCGAAGATGATATCTGCCAACCCCTTCCGGTACCTCAGCTCAACAACACTTTCTGATACCTTTTCAAAAAAAGGTATTTTAACATTTGGCAGCTCCTAAAACTATGCTATAAAAATTGTAAGAATAATTGGGAAACTCTTAAGCATATGGCCACCAGTTTATGTATCATTTGATACAGCCAAAATGTCTCTGTCTATCTCTGCGCACGATAGCTTTCGAATGGAGTATTCGATTTCCTCCAAACTTTGTATATCGTAAAATTTTTTGTTAAACTTAAATCGACAGAGAGAGAGACAAAACAGGAGTGGGCCTTTTCTGGCACTCCCTCAACAAAGGATTAACATTATGCGATTTCGTTTAAATTTGTCGATGATTCGATTTTTTGCTAACGGAAGAAAAAAATTAATACCATCCAGTTAATGGTCAAGAGTAAAAAATAGCAATTCATATGGTTAAATCTATAGACTTTGCTCCGTATCGCCCATGGCTTCTGAATAAACTAGATATGTATATCGTTGTATTTATTGGGCAGATAGTGTTCTCTGATCTTTGCCATCCCCTCCCTGGACAATTTGTTAATGACTTGTTAGACATTAATTTAATAAATATAACTAGCCATTTATATTATTCATATCTTCAAATTTGTATTGCTCTTTGTCTTACAGTCTCCACACCATCCACCGTTGGACCCTACGATGCGTCGAGCATTACGAAAACCACCACCAACTCAGCATTTACACCGATCAACTCTATGCCTCCGCACTTGAACACTCTCTCGCATCATGCCATGGCTCAGCGTCCGTATCTCTACGATGCGATCAGTTTTCAGAATAAAAACGTCAACCAAAACAATGCCTCGAATGCATTTCCAAATCAGCTGATTTCGCTGCATCAGATACGCAACTATGCCCATCAGCCGGCTGGTCTGACAATGGCCGGTGAACATCTGTTGGGTGTTAGTGTCGGTCCCGGCAAGGATAAGGGATAGCTATATTTTTAAGGCGAGTAAATTAATATAATTAATAAAAAAATAAATGAAAGAAAACAAATGGAAAAATATTATAAATTATAATATAATTAAAGAAGAAAAAAGAAGTGTAGAATGATGTATGATTTATTTGTTTTAGTTTTACTATATGCTTTATATTTCATATTCTTTTTTATTCTTTATTTTATAAATATTATTAAGTTTTGTTATTTTAGGTTAGAATAAGTTGAGTTCTAAAGACACAAAAACTGTTCGTTAAATGAGCTTGATTGTGAAATGTGTTATTGAAAATGCAAAAAAATGGAAAATGGGTTAAGAGTTTATAAGAGCAATTCAGTAATTTTTACCAAGAAACAACATTCACAATTTTTAATATTTATGGCGGCTCTTCAATTTAGGGTTTAATTAATGCATATCCTAAATTGAAACCCGTCAAAACTAATTCTCACGAGAAATTATTCCGAAGACATTTTTGGATGACAATTTTTAGCAAGATATCGCTTAATCGCTTCAGAATGGATAGAGAAATGTCATTAGTAATTACAAAATTGATTTTCATTTATTTCCTGCGTGGATTTGAGATTTTCACATTTTTCTTGTCTACATTTTTTTATCGAAGTGTCTAAAAGTGGTTATGTAGGTTTTTCAAAAGGCATTAAATTAATTACCGAAAATCAGGCACATTACGTCCAATTTATTGTATATTTTGTCGAATTCCGTCAATTTTTATACCCTCCACCTTGGAAAGGAGGGTATATTAAATTTGTCATACCGTTTGGAACATCCCTAAATATTCGTCGTAGACCCCATGACGTATATATATATTCATAATCTGTCTGTTGAAATTACGATACAGGCCACATTATTTGACGTAGAGCGTCAAAATTTAGCAGAATAATTTGTATTGTGTCTAGGATGGTTGGTATTGAAAATGAGATATATCGGTCCACGTTTTGGTATAGTCTCTACATAACGGTACCTTCCGATATTTGGTATTTTGATGATTTTTGCAAATTTTGTCTAAGAATTGGTATTTGTGGGTCATAATGGGTCCTAGTTCGTATGGCGAAACATTATATGTATAGTTACACGTTTTTGTATACCTCTATATAGCGGTACCTCCCGATATTCGGTATTTTGAAGATTTTTGCCCCATTTTTTCATGGATTTTTCTAAAATTTGGTATTTGTTGGTCATAATGGGTTCTATCCTCGGTGGCGCAACATTGCATGTATAGATCCACGTTTTGGTATAGACCCCATATAACGGTACCTCCCGATATTCGGTATTTTGATGATTTTTTCAAGTTTTTTCGCGGATTTTGTATAAAAATTGGTATTTGTAGGTCATATTGGTTGAGGGTATTAAAAGTTCGGCCCGTCCGAAATTATTGTTTTTTTTTACTTGTTCATAAATCATGATAATGGTTAGCAAGCGACATGTTCCCATTCACTGATCGGTCCAATAAGTCTTTTAAAACGTTTGCTGTGAGCAGACCTCAGTTGACAACCTTTTTACGTCACGTCAACACATTTCCATAGCTGACAGACGTCTACAATCGGATGTCGAATACTGAGATACAAAAACCTTGATAAAAACAATCAGTTTTAGCACAACTCCGAACAATTGCAACACAATCAAAACACTATGAAATAGCTCTCAGCAAAAACTTCAGAGTTGTATGGGCCGAATATCCCGTCAATCTAGCTTCGACATGAATTAAACCCTCAGATGGCCACAGAAGATATACATCCTTTGATACGGCCACAATGTGCCTCAGCGAGATAACGGTTTTAGACCCTAGGTCCCTTTAGACCAAATCTGTTTCAGGACATTTTGAGTCGATCTAAAGTTGACCGTCCGTCGTTCTGTCTTTCTGGCTGACTTATGCGCACGATAACTATCGAAGGGAGTATTCGATTTGGTACAACCTTGGTATTTTGTAATATTATTGTTTAACTTAGATCGAGTTCAGAGGTGGGCAATATCGATCCACTCCTTCTGGTACCTGACCCATAAAGGATTCAAAATTTTGAATAATTATAACTCTTATAAAATGTAATTTAAGAGTCCGAGCATCTTCAAATTACACTCATCACAATATTTTTATTAATCCATCGTCTGGTGTGAAGATGGAATATATCGGTCTACTCCTTCTGGTATCTCCCCAGGGCCAAAGGTTGAATATTCACGAAGCTCATAAAACACGAAATTAACATCCGATTCCATTAAAACTTGGTACATCTCAATATTTCTGTCAACACAAAATCTGTCATAATGAAGGTAGAGATCGGATCATTCCTTCTGGTACCTCCCCTACAAGGGGTCAAAGTTTTGAATAACAAAAACGATCATAAAATCCGAAATAAGGATCCGGTTCTCTTCATATTTCACACGTCCAATTATTTCTACTAACACAATACCTGATGTGAAGATGGGATATATCGTTACACTCCTTCTGGTAACTTCCCTTCACAATTGTCAGTATTTATATATCCCACAACTTACGAAATAAGTCAACTATTCTTTTCTAACTTGACTTGATAACTCTGGCCAACGATCGAAATGAAGTCGGTCGATAACATTTTACCAGATGTGTTACCAGATGTGTTTTAGGTTCGTAGAATTATTGGTATTGAAAGTGCATATAGGTCCACTTTTTGAATAGGTCAATAGGTCAAAATGTTCACAGAAAATATTTTACCGCATAGAACAAGAAATGATCATCCAACCTTGAGCAAACTCTGCCAATCCAAATATTTTTATCAACGATATGTTAGTAACGAATATGGAATATATATCGGATCAATCCGACAAATACCTCCCCTACAAAGGATCACAATTTTTAATAATTATATCTCATATGAAATGAGAAAAAAGTGACCGGTTGTCCTCAAATTTCGCACATCTCAATATTTTTTATCAACCCAAGATGTGGCATGTAGATGGTATATATCGGTCCACTGTTTCATGTACCTCCGCCACAAATGATTTCACACATCCCAATTATTTTACCCACACAAGATTTGGTATGAAGATGAAATATATCAGACCACTCCTTTTTATAACTCCCCCACAACGGGTCAAAATTTTGATTAACCATGACACTCTTAAGAAACGAAATGAGCATCCCATTTTTTCAAACGTGGCACATCCTAATATTTCCATCAACACAAGATCTAGTACGAAAATGGGATATATCCGCCTACTCCTTCTGGTACCTCCCCCATAAAGTGTCAAAATTTTGAATAACTACACTTTTCGGAAACTTTGAAATAAAAGCCTGAATATCTTCAAAATGTTGATTTCACCCATCCCAAGATATCTGGTATGAAGACGGTCCACTCCTTCTGGTACCTCCCTAACAAAGGGTCAACATTTAAATATTGACTGAAGGTCTGCTGTGAAAATGGGATATATCGGTAGCTCTTTCATAAAGGGTCAATGGTCAAGAATAAGCATCTGGTTCTCTTCAAATTACACACATCACAATATTTTTATTAACTCAAGATCTGGTGTGGAAATGAGATATATCGGTAGCTCTTCCACAAAGGGTCAAGATTTTGAATACTCATGAAGCTCATAAAACACGAAATTGAAATCCGATTCCATTCAGACTTAGTGCATCTAAACATGTCAACACAAGATCTGTTATGAAGAGGGTAGAGATCGGACCATTTCTTTTGGTACCTCCCCCACAAAGGGTCGAAGTGTTAAATAACAAAAACAATCATATAATCCGAAATAATCATCTGGTTCTCTTCATATCATACATATCACAATATTTTTATTAACTCAAGGTGGTGAAAATAGGGGTACTCCTTTTGATACCTCCCTCACAAAGTCAGAATTTTGAATACCCATGAAGCTTATAAAACACTAAATTGACATCCGATTCCATCATCTCAATATTTCCGTATTACATATTTCCATCCATACATCTCAATATTTCTGTCAACAGAAGATCTGTTATAAAGAAGGTAGAGTTTGGACCATTTCTTCTTGTACTTCCCTCACAAAGGGTCAAAGATTTGAATAACCAAAACGATTATAAAATAAGCCTTCTGTTATCTTCATATTTTACGCATCCAATAACGCAAGATCTAAAGATGTGTATACGGGTCCACTCCTTCTGGTACTTCCCCCACAAAGGTTCAAATTTTGAATATCAATATTTCCATCAACACAAGATCTGTTATAAAGATGGTAAATACGGGCCATTTCTTCTGGTACCTCCCACGTAGGAATCAAGATTTTGAAAAACAAAACGCTCATAGAAGCCGATATAAGTATCCAACTCTCTTCAAATTTCACACATCCAAACATTTTTGCTATCACAAGATCTCTTCTGAAGATGATAAATATATTCGAACCCCTTCTGGTTCCTTATCCACAAAGGGTCACAATTTTTAATATCTCCATCTGTCATAACTTGCGAAACAAGTCAGCGAATGTTTACTACTTGCTATATCTAAATATTTCTCTCAACCAGAAACTTAAATGAATATGGAATTTATGTCCGATGCGAAGTAGAAAATATTGCCCCATTCCTTCGGAACCTATTCCATAAAAGGTCAAACAGTTGAATAATCATAACCGAAGGCAAAATATATTATATACATCTGTCGTCAAAACCGACTGATACTTTTTATTTATTTTTTTTACATTTCAGAACTTTTATTCATTTCTTCCATATGTAAAGCCATCTGTGTCATTAAGGCGTTTTAGAGACAAGTTGACACAATTTATAAATCTAATATATTTACTAAATACAAAAATTATAAGCCAATATGTTCGACTTTTAATATTATCAAATTTGGACCGAGAACCGAATCTATATCGTTTTCTAAACTAGAACATCTTATTAACATTTAGCATCTAATTAAGAAACAAAATTTTCAAGTTGTAAAACTTGATCTCCTCAAAAATCTAAGAAGCTTCTACTTGGATCCACCAAAAACTTAATCTATCTTGCTCCTCCTCCATAAATATTACATGTGATTCGTTCAACT